AACTTAAAAAGACTCGTTTGGCCTTTTCACAATCTAAAAAGATATGTGTATTAGTCTTTTCTGCTTGATTGCATTCCACACATGCTGTGGGTATTGAGATTCATCTCTTTTGAAGTTCATCAGCCGAGCAACGTTTTCCATGTAGAAGTTTCCAAGTAAAGGGTTGCACTTTAGCTGGCAAATGGAGAGACCATAATTTCTTCCATGAGCTATTCTGCAAGTTCGTTGAAGGTTGATGAGTTGATGTGGACAGAAGGGAGTGCGTATTGCAGTTCGCACCTTGGTGATATCCCGATTTGACTCTATATCGACCATCCTTCTCCAGAGACCAAACAAGGTCATCTTTGATATTTGAAGAAGTTTGCAATAATTGGATTTATTCCCAAAATAGGTCACCATACTAAGCCAAAAGTTCATCTAAGATTAGTCTGTTTGTTTTGGGCTTTAATAGTGACAGAAAGCTATCTTTCACAATCTTTTGAGTTGAGGGGTATTTTTCTCATTTTGTTATCTTTTAAATTTTTAGAATAAATTTTAATTCATTTCATTTTTTTAAAAAAATTCTTCTTCTTGTACTTCTTAACTTGTATATGATTGCGGTATAATTACTATATTTTAAAAAGTAATTTAAGTTTTGTATTTTAAATTCTAGACTATAAAGTGTTTTTAAAAAAAGAAAATTTAAAAAATGAAAGAAAAAATCTGAGTTGAAGTAAATATGAAAATGAATAATTTAACATTTTTTAACCAACGAAAAAATAGCTAAGACAAGTTGTTTCTTTTCTAGGTTATCTAGTTATTTTCAGCTAGATTTAACTTTTTTTTTTAAGAGAATGAGGACGGTACCTGGCGGGCATCCCTCCGATTTTAATAATTTTTGAAAAAAAAAAAATACACCGGCAGTGCTTAAGAGTTACCCAAAGGAAAGAGTCTGCCTTACAAAGATTTGTCTAAAATCCCATGGCAGCTCTATTTCCGAAATCTGACATGATGCCCTACAAAGATTAACTAGAATACCATGGCATCTCTATCTATGATTACAAAGAAAGAAAACTAAGAAAAAGAGTTACAAAGAATGAAACATTATCCCGACTACTCTTTCGTCTAACTATTCAAACTATATTATGTCCTACACTAGGGATATAAAGAAACTAGATTTAACTATTAATTTTCATGTTTACTTCAATTTGAATTTATATTTTTTTTTATTTTTTCCTTCATTTCTTTATAATCTTCAAGTTAAGATACAAATGGAAAATTAATTTTTCAAATTTAATAATTATAATAGTACCAACATATACAAGTTAGAAAGTAAAGAAGAAGAATTGTAAAAAAAAATTTAAATATTAATATTTTATAAAAAAATACAAAATAACGAAATTAACCCAGGACCAAAACACAATAAAAACTTTGGATCAATTGATTGTTGGTCACCTCAACATCTCTCGGCAAACCACATCTTTGCACCAAAAAATTCACGTTTATAATCTGGATCACCAATGTCATAGTGTTCTGCAATTCACATTATGATTTCTTTTTTAATGTTTTATGGTTCATTTTTTTTTTTTTTTTTGTAAATGGTAAATTTCATTGTTTGAAGCAATCAAGAGACATGTCCCTATTTCTATTACATTGCTGTACATTATTCTAACACTTTAAAATTATCGTATATCATGTCCCTATTTCAATCTTTATCATTCTAAATCACTCAGCTACTTCAACTTGCCCCTGCTTCCTACTATTCCCTTGAGACCACAAATGATATAGAACTGCACTTACTGCTACAAATAGGAGCTTCCTATTGCCTTTCCTACCCTTCCAGATCTTCATTAATCTGTGCTTTTGTATATTCAAATTCTGCAGCCTCGAGCTTAGTCCCAACCAGTCACTGATTTGCTTTATTAACTTATGAGCATAATCACAATTGAAGAAGAGATGATCCCTACTTTCTTCTGGATCTGAACACAGTTCACATTTATCACTTTCTTTCAGCAACATCATTTTTTTCGGCCTGCCTTGGGTGAGTAACCTGTTTTCAATGGCAACCATAAGATGAAGTTATGTTTAGGTAGACTAAACCGATTCCATACCAGGGCTGATTCTCTGAATTTCGGATGCTGTCCCATAAGGAAAAATACCAGATCTTTGCTGTATAACCTTTTCCCTATGTTTCATGCATGAAACATAAGAACAATTTAATACCTGGTGTAACTTCCAGTTTACTCAACTTGTCAGGGTTCTTTTTGGAATTATGATAGTTACAACACCCTTAATCAGAATTCTCCCATTAATTTAATTCATGAACCATATAACCATTAATTTTTTATGATTATTATAAAACTAATTTGTGTTACATGATAAGATTACATGTAACTTAAATTTAAACATCTATTTCATTTTTTGTCAGTATATTAAGCAGGGAATGGGATATTAACCTAAATGTGCATTTTGGGTTTAATTATACGATAAAAAATGTCGTATAAAGGTTTGACATACTCTTAGCTGACAGCTTATGTAAATATACCTTAATTTAAAAATCTCTAGAAGTGGAAAAGGTTCCAAACGGCTAATTCTTAATGAAATGCAAACAGAAACATGACATTTCAAACTGTAACGTACCGGGACCAATAAATACCAAATGACAACTCATACATTCCTAAACTATTTTGAGGCTTTTTTGTATAAACTCTGTGCGTTAGACTGTGCTACCATAAATATACAGTTGATCTCGATCTACGCAACTCTTGATTAATCTTCCATCATCACAGGATTATTGACATTGGAAGATTTCTCGATGCGAAGGAGGGCCATGCAGAATAGGCAACTGTACAATCGGTATTGCAGCTTGAAACTCCAAATCATGATAATGTATTTGATCCCATGTTGGCTTGTTACCTAATAGTGAATCCAATACCCACAACTGGAGGTGCCTAGTCCTCTGAATATAGTATGGGTTAGATACACAATGTTTTCCTTTATGGTCCAAAATTGTAAGCCTCGTATCACGTGAGTGCAAATCATCGTTCCATTTTGATTTCCAAGGACCATGCAGAACATAAAATTTTTCTCGTCGACGATAATAAGAAACCATCACTTGTTCGTATGGATCTTCTGTTTGTTGAGATTTTAACAACTTATCAACAGGCCAATAAATCTTGTCATCTATGAGAAGTCCTTGATCAACTAATTTAGGAAAAAACTCTTTCATGTCTGTCCAAACAGCAATGTTATCGGACAGTCATTGATTAACTGAACAACGAAATTTCCTACCCACCATAGAATGTGTGCTGCATATTTCCAGATACATAACAATATATTCCGCTAAAGAAACATTCCAACCGAAAATTGCTTCCAAGTTTGTATGAATAAGAGGATCAGATGGTAATGTTAAATAAAAAAATTGGCCATTAGTTGGGTTAAGTATAGATAGATAAGTAAGGAATTTTACGCATATGAGATCAGATGTAATAGGCAAAACCTTATGCCCAATTTTCCAACCAACAAATCTATCGTAACTTGTGCATAGCTTCTTGGAGTCTTGATTATTCAGATTGAATGAATTGAATGTCATCATGTTCTGTTTCGTTGTTAGATCGGTTGATTGCCTCACCATCATGATATTTGTACGTGACATCTCCATATGACTCCTTTGCAAAGTTAAAACAAAAGATGGATCCAAGATTGTTGAATTTCACGAAGACTTAACACTTCAGCACAAAGGGATGTTCGCCGCATCAAGCTTTTTTTCAAAATCTCATGAAAGATATCTTCGGGTAAATCATCAATATGGTTGACATTGTAGAAGTTATTCATTTTGTATGTGAGTAGGCGGTTTACTCCACACTACTGTAAGGAGTGAATGAGTTTTTGGAATTCATTTTTGGTAATTTTGTATGGTTCATAATGGGTAGCTTACGTTGGTTGTGGTTACCCGGAAAAATTTTATGCGGGCTTAAATAATTTTTTTGATGAATATTTTTGTACATAGGAAGATAAGATATGTCATTCATCAGTTCGGTTTTAATGGTAATTTGAATTGGAATAACAATATCTAGTAATCAATTAATAGATTTAAATAAACTAATTGGTATAACTAAAAGCCATTTAATCGTGCTTTAGGATCTCTCTCCTCTCCTCTCAATTCTTCTTCACTCCTTTCCTATGGCTGGTGATACGCCGCCGACCATAGGCCACATACCAACAACTAAACCCCCGCAAAAACCTTCCTTTGCTCAGATCCTTGGATCCAAGGCAAATCCCAAAACCATCCACAATTTCTCAACCAAAAAACAACCTCTAAATCAACCCAAGATACGATCAGAACCAACAATTTTCAAAGGTAAGCCAACTTTTCATCTTACAAATGAAGAAGATGATCAACTTTTCTTCTTACAAAAGGCCTGCCAAAAATGGAATGCCTGAGGCGAGAATTCAAAATTATCGGTTTCGAAGGAAGGTTTTCCCTTGGATCAATTGATTCATGACATATTCTCATTTGCCTTGACCAAGAAGAAGATTTCCATCGTTACTGGTTAAAAGGTCTATGGAACTTTGACAAGCATCATGTGCGAGTTCTAAAATGGACCACAGATTTCAACCCAGCACATGAAAGCTCTATTGTTCCAGTCTGGATCTCTTTAGAAGATCTTCTTATTCATCACTTCAACACGGAATATTTGTGGAAGCTAGCTAGAATCATCGGTTCACCTCTGTAAATTGATGTCCCAACCCTCAACATGTCAAGACCGTCTGTGGTATGAATCTATGTAGAATTGGATCTTCTCAAAGATCATCCTAATCGAATCAGACTGGGAGTTGAAGGGGTAACGTACTTTCAACCAATCCTTTATGAAAACATGCCTCAATATTGTGTTGAGTGCAAGAAGATTGGAAAAGATCAACACTCCTGTCGATATAATACAACAGCATTATCAACACAAAAGAATGACCCCTCTTCACAGCCACAATCAAATCAAAAATCAAATCAACAATCAAAAGGAATGGAAGACAATGCGCCGGCCCATGATAAACCAATGTTGCTGATGAGAATCTGTCGCCATCCAATGCTGTAAAGAAGGTGCAGCAAACTATTTGTGTGGACAGGCCTCATAATACGCTGCCTGTAGCTAAGAAAGCCCTAGTCGCACCCTGCGGAAGGTCTACCACGCCAAAAGATGCAATCCCGCACCCAGAAACAAACCGAGAAGGTTCGAGCTTGGAACTCATAGCGACGGGAAAAATTGGCAGCCCCGTGATCTCTGACCAAATTGGGGTTGAAGGCACACCTCACCGGCCTGATGTAGTTCCGAATCCCACTGATGCAGTTGTTAATGATCCGAGAATCATTGCTGCTTATGTCCCAATGGAGTTAACCAGCGATGCTGCTTCTCCGACGAAAACGGGCGACAAATCAATATCCGATCAAACTATTCCGTCAATGGATATGCAAATTAATGGAGAGATACCATCATCGCCGGTAAGAGATACCATCATCGCCGGTAAGGAAGATCACGGTCAGTCAATTGTGCCTATTTTGCAGCCAAGTCCAGTTCGTAAACAGCTCCCCGTTTCAATTGCGTCAGTTGCGCAAAGGAGTCAAACAACTGCGCGAATTGCGCCTGCGATTTCCACGTCGTCATATGAAAATCGCGGTTGTTGCGATCCCGTGACTTCAGCACCATCAGCGCAGACTCCTGTTGACCCGGGTGGTTTAAATTTAAACGAGGATAAAATTGCTCCAACTGACCAGGAAATTACGGCCTCTAAAGAAGAAGGATTGCATTCAAAGTCTTTACAACAATTCTCCTCAAATAATGAAGACTCCTTTTCAAAAAATAAGGAAGGAATCTCTTCTCCAAATAACTCCAGCAAGAACTTTAGTCAAAAGTTAAATCATGAGGCTCCAGAATTTACCATCACTTATCAGCCACAATTTCCGCTTCTTGAGGTTTTACTGCCTATTACAACCCCAAAAACGTATTTTTCTAAGGTTGATATGGAGACAGGAAAAAATACCGAGATTTCTAACTCCAACTATTTGATTAAAGATATAAATTCTGAAGGCCGAATAAATCATGCTTCTGATGATGATGATTTCGATATGGAGTATGCGATAGAACAAGAGTCCTTCTATAGTGAAATTTCTGCTCCAACGTATCACAATCACTCGAAAAAAGCAAAGTCTAAAAAGAAAGTTCAAGTTCGTCAGTCTACTAGATTGAATAAGAATTAACAGATTTATCCACAAAATATGCGACAAAATGCAAAAAATTTGAATAATATTATTTTTAGATGTTAAAATCTGAATAATATGTTAAGTTAGTCAAAAACTCTCGCATAGTCCAGGAACTATATCTAAAAGCCTTTTTCCTAAGGATTCATTAAAACTGGGCTTTTCAAAAATGGGGTTAAATTGTTTGTTTGAAGTTTTTTGCCATGAATTGAGGACTTTAACGCCTCAATTCTATAGTGCAGGGATTTATCTGTAGTTTACTAAACTTCAGAATTATAAATATGCTATCAGGGGTTGTACTTTTATTATGAAAAGATGATGAATTTAATTGGTAATCGCGTTTTCCCCTTTGGGGTCGTTCTAAAACCCTAGTTTGCTCTGATCCAATCTTTGATTTCATCGATTACGTCTTGGTTTTGGTTTGTAAATCACCGTTGCATTACATTTGGACTCAGAGCCGACGTTCCTTGGTGCTTTTAGTTTCTATTTTCAATCCCTCCGCATAGATTCACTCGGATTCGTTTCCTTCTCTTCCAGTTCGATTTCACTCAAAATCTATTCTGGTTGAAGTCTTTTCCTTCTTCGTCTATTCTTGACTTCCTGACAAGTTCTTCGCTTTGATTCTTCACCGAATCCAATGGCGGAAGTCGGTGGCAAACTTAGAACCTTCATCACAGCAGTGGAGTCGCAGGAAATCCTAGTTTCTTTTGCTGACGGCGACATGAGAGCTCGTAGAGAATTTGGAGGGGAGCACGACGTCTTTGATTGGTTGCAATATTTTGATTATTTTTGTTCGCGGTGTTTGATTCTGAATTCGGAAAAATTTGAGCTTCTTCAGCAATTCTTAGTTGGGATGGGGTCTAATTATAGTGATCAATCAAGTGATTATTATGGGACTATGATGGAAATTGTGGAATTAGAGTAGCCTGGGCTTCCTATGAAAATTGTTGTTTTGTTCAAGTGTCATTGGCATGATACAACTCCCAATGTCGGGATAAAGATTCATAACGAATACACTCTTGTTGATATCAACCATAAAAGAAGGTTTGGGAAGTATAAACCTTTTATTTTTGCTTCGCAAGCTTAACAAGTGTACTACACGCCTTATCCAAGCATGAAGAAAGACAAAAATGATTGGTAGTCTGTGTGTATAATCAAGATTAGGGCTGATTTTAATGTCCCTGCACTTGATGTGGCTTTCCAAGCCAAAGGAAGTCGAAAATCATGTAGTTGATGTTATTGATGATGATGATCTTGTACCTTTAAATGATGCAAGTGGTGTTTTTGTTGATTAAAAAGATGAGGATGATAACACTTTTAGCGATAGGGATTAATAGTCAACTTGTAGGCTTAGTTTTTCTTTTATTTTTTGTATTTTTGTACTTTGTATTTGTTTAATGCATCAAAAGACTATCTTTGTATATTAACATAGTAACAAAATCACATCCACAATCTCTATACTTACGGATGATTCTCTGGAAGCATTTGGTTTTTTTTTTTTTTTTTTCGCTGAATCGGATATGTTTCTATTTTGGTATATGTTGCATTTCTGTCTCGAATTAGATTTGTTTTGCCGATGCATTTCTGTCTTTGTTTCTGTTTCAGTTGCAGATATGGTGAAAGGTAATGCAGCAAAGCTACTTCTGGTTAAGATTGAGGCTGGATTAAAAGAAGATATCATGCGACCAACAACAAGAAAATCACTGTTGTTTTGCAGTAGCGCTCCTCCAATTCAGGAAAATATAGGAGGTTCAGTTCAGATGACTGCTGGATTTTCAAAACACAGTACTGAAGTAGCTTCAATTAAACTGACACGACAAAAAATAGGCCAGTACCCACGCGTTTCCCACGAATTACCCATGAAAAACTACCCACAAAAAATGTCGTGGGAAGCTATAGTTTTCTGCGAAAACAGTCGTGGGCGATCCATGGGTAAATTTACTTACCCACAGCTCGCCCACGACCGAAACTTGTGGATAATTTAACTTGCACATGGTTGGCATGTGAATTTTTTGGGTGATAAATTTTACACAAGAGTTACCCTCGGACAAAATCTCATGGGTAATTTCCCACAGGAACACGTAGGAAAATTCATGGGGAGCTTGTTGGTGGAAAACTTTCACCAATGTTTCAAATCTTGAAATGTTACCCACTAAAAAAATCCATGGGTAATACGCGAGTTATATAATTTTCCCACAATTTTCCCACGAATTCATTTGCGTGTGTTGTTATCCATAGCTAGTCACAAGTTGCGTGGGAGTTTAGTTGGAGGGAATTCTAACCCACAAGCTGCGTGCAGAAATGGTACCCACAAAGCAACTTTGTGTGTAATCCGTGGATGATTTAATTTACCCACGATTTTCCCATTGATTACTGTTTGTGAGTGATTTTCCAAAAGTTTTGTTGTCAAAACTCGTGGGGAAATTGATGGCGGGAAACTCGTACACACGGAATACCCACCCCATCTTCTTTTTTTTGAAATCTTGTGGGAAATCCGTGGGACTCCATGGGAAACACTTTCGCAAACCTTCGTGGGAAATGCATGGGTGTTTCGTGGGTAAATGCTATTTTTTTGTGAGTACTGGCCTGTTTTTTTGTAGTGTGACTTCCGTTCAAGAGCTTAGAAAACTTGTATCGTAGAACCAAGGTCCCAACATCAGAAAGTATGCACCTCACTCAAGGAGAATTCAGTCACCCTCTCAGAATTTGAATAATGACTCCAGTCCCATTGTAGTTGATAACCCTGATAAAAAAGACCATGTTCCTAAGAAACTGGTAGCTGAACAGCAGAAGCAAGTTCCTGATAACCTTGCTGCAGAAAAGCCGACTATGGTTCCTAAGAACCTTGCAGCAAGAATGCTGAACCAGGTTCCTGATAAAGTCGCTGCTTTAGAGCCGATCAAAGTTCCTGATGAGCAACTTTTAGCAGTAAAGCTGAAACAGGTTCCCGATAAAGATGCAGCATCAAAGCCGATCCAGGTCACTGATGAGCAACTTTCAGCTACAAAGCCAAACAAGGTTCGTGATAATGTTGCAGTAGCCACGCCAATCCAGGTCACTTATAAGCAACTTCCAGCAGAAAAGTCAAACGAGGTTGCTGAACTTGCACCAGCAAAAAAGTGGAAGAAGGTTCTGTCTAAGCATAGGAGGTCAACACGAAATTCGCAAGTGAATGAGGACAACACAGTTTAGAAAGAAGACCCTGCACGAAGTTCAGATATTGCAAGAAATTTTAGTCTGAATCAGTCTCTACGAAATTAGGGTTCGAGTAGCAATTCTATTCCAAGTACATGTAAATGATTCTAATTCAAATTTAAGTGGTAACCAGGGTTGGATAAGAAACAATTCAACAGGCATCTGAGGAGAGCTTCTTCAAATCAGGATGAACATATTTGATCCTTTTCAAATCAGAATCGTACTACAGATGACGGTACCATTCCTCCCAGCCTAAACAACAGTCATGTCACTAATTCCACTGCTTCCAGTTTAGGCCGGAGATGGAAACCAACATTCAACAGGAACTTTAGATGCTTGCACTATTCTAGAGAATCATCCTAAGCCAACAGACAAGAAACGCCAATCTAAAACAAGATTGCATTTTTTTGTAATTGTAATAGGTTAAACTTGAAAAGTGTACGCCCGCAAAAACTTAGAAGTAAGTTTGAGGATAGGTTGGAACCCAGAGCATACACTCGGTAAAGAGTGAGCAAAGAAGTGAAAGAGTTCTATTGGAATGAGTTTAAGGTAAGCATTTTCTTCACTCCTTAGTAATCATGGTATATGTTAGCAAATAGGTCTTTCTATTAATTTTTTTTTATGTTCAGATCCTTTAAGTGGAGTATGAAGTTTGGTGCTGTTTTCTAGTATGAATACTATTACAGGATTGAGGTTCAGAGTTGTGTAAAATGTGTATAACAAGAGTCTGATGTACAAACATGGTTTTGTGTAGAAACATTTTACATGAGAACCTGAAGTGGAAGAGGAGATAAAGGATGCCTAGAATTTTTTGGCGTCATACCGTTATCAGACCTCACAAGGGACTTGAGACAATGGGATGGAAAAACCATATTTCGTTCAAGAGGATGTGTGGGTAAGCTTTCAAAATCATTAGAAGAGTGAGGCATATGAGAAGGTGCGAAGCAGGAATTCCCACAATCGTCACAGCCGTAAAGGACCAGTTTCTCACACTGGAGGTTCATGCTCATTTATTGAGCATGCTGCACAACTTGTAAGTTTATTGAGCATGCTGTTTACGATGTATCTTAGTCCGCTTCCAACTGTATAGACTTCATGATTTTTGGCTTTGCTATTATGCTCATATTTGATGTGCTTATATGTATATATATATATATATATATATATTTTGTTAAATCTCGCTGTTTCCGTGCAATTGCCCTGGGTCAAGAGCCTACACCGTATGAATTGTTTGCCTATAGTCATACAAAGAATCATGCCTTAAAGAATTTTATTGATTCTACATTTCGAGAAGTTCATATAAGTTTTGAAACTAGTGTTGAATGATATATTCCCTAGATTTAAATATTCTTCCTTGTTTCTTTTCTGATTTTAGACTTGTAATTTCTATATAAATGAACTGGTTGATGATCTATGGAGGGTACTGAAAGAGATGATGATCTTCAGGGGATGGTGACATTGTTGATGATTGCACCTGAAATGATAAGTTGCTAACTTTGATTGCTTATTGAGTACTCCTGCAACTGTGACTATGTTTTTTGTATGACTGAAATGCTGGTTTATCTCCAGGGGATTCTGAAATTGATGATGATCTTCAGGGGATTCTGAAATTCTTGATGATTGTCATGATACCTTTACATGGCTTATTGAATACTCTTTCAACTATGAGCAATGACTGTTTTTTGGTATGAATTGAATGCTTCCAATCAGCTATGAGGTTGACTGTGGTTTTTTTGTGTGCATTGCATGTTAAAGGAGAAATATGTGGCTCTGCGAGACGAAGTTCATCAGGCTACTGCTGAGGA